TTGAGATTATTTTTTGCTGCTCTAAATTTCCACGCGATAAGTCACTTCGTTGAACAGTCACTTGTGGCGAGGTTGCTTCTGAAAAAGAAGCTGATAGCGCAGTGGGCTTTACCTGGTAAGATAAAATAGTTTCGTTTTATTTATATATTTCAAAGTGGTTTGCTTACCTTTCCTCTACTTTGCACTCTGAACGTGTTTTTGTATCGTTTGTTGTTGTATCGTTCTGACCCCTCCCGCAACTGGACATTTGTGAAAAAGAGCTTTTCAGCTCATCGGATTCCCTTCAGTATAAATGAAGATGCTGACTCCGTCCAAGCCTTCAGCCTTCGCTCAAGGGAGGTGACTCATTCTCTCCTCTGCTGCCTTCACAGTCAGAAACTCTCTTCCCCCCAGCCATCCTTGCTCACGACCCCCTGCCCAAGTTCAAATTCAGACTCGGAGACCTTCCTTTAAAACAAAAACTCTGCCTATGACTGACTGCCTCTCTCTCGCGACCAATATAAAATAGACTTTGCCAGTTTCCCCACGGCGTCTTGCGAGATTCTCGCATTTAGACGCGAGCGATATACATTCAAATTGCATTGTGGTGCGTGTGCCGTCATCACGGTCCATGGGCAGATAGCCCGTCGGTGCCCCACTGCACATTTCATCGCTTGTTACCACTTTCCTCTGTCTTCTGCCAACATGCACAAGTAGTGCCACATCCTTCTGGCACCATTGTTTTACGTCGTCAAACCATTCTCTGGTAGGTCTTCCACTCATGTGTATTCACGTGAATTAAAGAGCAGCCCTGACGAAGGGCAATTGCCTGGAACATCGGGCTATTGTATATGTTTCTGGTGCAATGCGGTGTTTGTGATGGACTATGCGAGGTCTTATTACTCAGGCCTGTGCAGCACTGCCAATGCCGTCCCTTAGTTTTGTTTTTGTCACCATATTTTATTAAATGTTTAATATTCTGCGATGTCGCGAACACACGGGACCGCCTGTTGAGGTGCCCGGCGCGATATAAAACACACGTGGTGTGTTAGTGGTGTGTGAAACTGCACACAGCTGGCAGTACCAGCGTGACTACTGCCACGCACAGGGTCCCCGTGTCTTATGGGCCTGGCTCAATTTCAGCCGGGTCTGTAGTGCAGTATAATATTTCCGAACCCAGTCGCACCACATCCAGTACACCCCTCACCATGCCTGTGACTACTAGTCACGTGCCACCTACCGCAGTCACACCACATCCAGTACACCCCTCACCATGCCTGTGGCTACTAGTCACGTGCCACCTACCGCAGTCACACCACATCCAGTACAGCCCTCACCATGACTGTGGCTATTAGTCACGTGCCACCTACCCCAGTCACACCACATCCAGTACCCCCCTCACCATGACTGTGGCTACAAGTCACGTGCCACCTACCGCAGTCACACCACATCCAGTACACCCCTCACCATGGCTGGAGGTCAGGTGGGGGTGCGTGCTCGTGCTGACCACGTGCGTCTTGACCTTTGCGGCGGCGGCGGCGTCTCGAGCGGCGAAATGAAAACTCGTGAGGCGCGCGGGTTCGTGACATCGCTGCTGTTTAATGGCACTCCGGGGGGGGGGGGGTCGATGCTGCTCGCAGCGAATCCGAGGAAAGAACGGTCGAGGGAACGCATCGAGACGACCCCTCGAGTGAATTTTACAGCGGACAGAGACGGCTGCAAGCTTCCAACGCACAATTATCAGCAGCAAATTGAAACATTTAGGGTTTAGTGACATCGACCAGAGACGATATGTTTCGAAGAAAATACATAAAAAAAAACAAATAACAGCCCCTTACTAGGTGGGCAATCGTTTTTCTTTTTATTTTCCTTTTTATAGAAAGACGCAACTGATGAACGCACAAATGTGCTTTAATGTGACCTACACACTTTATTCATTTTGAGTCACTCGCTTAGCGTTCCTGTACTTTGCACTCCGATCGAGTTTTTTTTTTTTGATGCATCGTTTGCTGTTGAAACGTTCCGACCCGCCCCTACTGGACATCCGTGACAAAGAGCTTCATAGCTCATCGGATTCTTGCAGTCTTAATAAAGATCCTGACCCTGATTCACTCCCGACTCGATCCTCGAGATTTGGACGGTGACCTGGCTGTGTGACTCGAGCGTTCGGAGGCTTCAAGTTGACACCAACGGATGCTGCACTCTGGGACCCGCATTGCGTGATGCAAAATTAAAGGCAGGTTTCTCGTTTAACGCGGGACTTATGAAACTCCCCTCCTCACTTCCCACCAACGTACAGATGTTTTCGACGTTTCCAAAGCATCGGGTGTGTGTAGTGTGCGCGTGCTGAATTTAGTTTGTTTGTTTTTTTTTCACTGGAGAAGATTGCCAATTGTGAACATGGTGGGTCATGGAGTGTGACGTTTGAGAAGTCCCGTTTAAATGAAATTGTAAAACGACGAATTACATATTTTTATTCGCCTGATATGTTCGTTCATTGTTGCCATTTACGTCGACACCGCGCTGCCACGGTACATGGTATGACTTGTTTAAAAGCTGTAGTGTAATTTAAACGATTTTTTATATTTTTTTCAATTAGTCTCAAGTGCCATCACTGGCAGGAGCAGGGTCATGGAACGGAGGCGGGGGGGGAGTGGGGGTGGAGGTTGGGGCAGTTTGCCCTGAGACTGAGAGGTGGCTTTCATTCGGCATTTTCCACAGGGGCCCCACTAAAAAAAAACACACCTCAATAGCCCAGATCGCAAGTTGTTGAACCCGGGTCCCCAAAAGGTTTCACGAAGCGACGTGGCCAACGGCTGCTGAGAGAACCGGCTCGGGCCAATGTCCTTTGACCTTCAAAGCAGATATCAATACGGAAGGGGGAGACGGGTTCCACTTCAGGATAATTGCAAGCGGGCGTCTCCGGTAGGAGGTGGAATCGGCAGCGCGTCAGGTGGCAACGTCCCACTGGAATCAGCCCGTCAAAGCGCCATCGTGTGCGCAAAACGAAGCCACCTTCGGGCGGCCTTTTGTTTTTGCTCGCCGAGAGTTCAAAATCCAGGAGGGGCGAGTGGGTGCGTGGCACGGCGGGGAAGAAGGGGTGGGGTAGGGGTAGGGGTGGGAAATTAGAGGACGAGGAAAAAAAAAAAGGTATAAATAAAATATTTATATAAAAATATTCTCTCGCTAAATATATAATTACATCGCTAGCGTGGAAAGGTATCTTACAGTAGCCCTTTGTAAGTACGGACAGATGACCATTTTGTGCAAGTGGTATCACTCTGCAGGCCGCAGACACAAGCCACCCTGTACCGCTTAGACTTCAAACATATAAATTACAAAAAAAAGCCCTAATGAAAAAATCACAAAAATCCAAAGCGCCCACGCCAGCGCTCCGCCCCATTTTCAAGCCGATAAGAACCATGACGATGGCACATTTTTTGTCGCTTCGTCGCCGGGTTAGTCGGTCCGCGCTCGCCGCTCAATAAATCATCCAAACAAGAAAATATATAGTTACGAATCATAAAAAAAAAGCGTTGGCTTTTTCGCAATCGACATGCAGACTGCGATTTTTTTTATATCATAATAAAATAATAATCTCGAGCGCAGACAAATCATTTGCAAGTGTGTTTTTTTTTATCGCGGGGGGCGGGCGGGTGGAGGTGGGGGGGGGGTCTACACGTGTCCAGGATCTCCGTGACTTACAGTGTTCGTTTTTCAAACTTTGACGTGGCGCGAGCGGTTTTAATAAATTAACCTAACACGAGCAAGAGATTATTAGCAAAAGTCCGAAGACGCAAACTAAAATAACATTTACATTGGGACCCCCCCGCCCCCCCCCCCCCGCCCGCGTCTCGTTTTTAATCAGTAGCATAACGTTTCACCGTTTTTTATCGATACAAAATGCCTCATGCTGTGGTCATATTTATCCGCGACGAGCGACGTTTTGTTCATTCAAATCTCCTAAGTAAGTCAAATGAGCAACATTTCAATAATCATAAAATAATTATACATTTCTTTTTAGAAAACAATCTGTCAAGAATTAGTAAGTCGCAACACGTTATACATTACACGCTTATAATGTGTGTTTTTTTTCTTTCTTTCCCCCTAGCCGACAAACGATAGCTTTGTATCCAACACCAAAACGACCCTCGGGCTCAGCGATTGGAGCCGTGGCCTGCTGCTTTTTCTCGCCATCGCGCGACGCAAAGGTCGTCAAGGTCGGCGAATCAATTTTCCCACCACGGCAGGGCCTCCCGCTCGCCTCTGGCAGTATTTGGCACCCCGCGCACGGCGAAACCGCCAGGGCCACCGCCGGGCAAGCGGTTCGCTCGTTACCCGGAGCTCGGCTTCTGCGAGCGCCGTCGGTGAGGTGTGCAAATCAAAGGCCGCGCTTCCTACGATCACGACTGTTGCCCTCCTCCCGTTTCCCAAATGAGGGCATCTCGTCTTTGACGATGCCCTTCCGCGTGCGCACCTTCCCCTGTTAAAACACTCGACGGACGGGTCCACCCGTCTCCCCCGTGTTCGAAAGGCTCGCAGGGCGGGGGGGGGGGGACGCTGGGAGACACCGGGAGATGCTGCGCTCTGGGCCGGCGACATACAGAATTTGTGGGTCCTCGTGGGCAGCAAATATGAGTGGGAGAAGCGGCATGTGGTTGGAGGGGCAGTGGTGATGGGGGAGGGCACAGTGAGCGATGTGGAACAGTCGACGACTCCTCACTCTCCCATCATGCTGAGATCTCAGTGGCCACTTTGTCCCAGGCTCGGGAGCCGATTGCAGAGCTCACTCTTGCAGGGACCCGCCTAGCCCCCCAGCCCCCCCTGTCGGCAATCACGCAGGGTGGCGGTGGGTGGGGTGGTGAGTGGGGTGGGATGAGTGGGGTGAGGGGGGGGGTGGGGGTTTAGGGCAACTGCCAGGTGCGGAACGACAGCCGTCCCATCGCGCAGCGACATCCGCTGCCACTTTTGTCCGGGAGCGATTGTTGCTCAAGATCGATTCTCCTGGGGGGGGGGGGGGGGGGGGGGGCGGGGGTGAAGGGGGGCACAGCCGACTATCGACAGGGCGAGCGATCGAGCCTGCGGGAGAGTCGGGGCCAGCGTCCCAGCGAGCGAGCGAGCGAGCGAGCGATCCGCCGCCGCCGCCGCCGTCACTTGCACGTGTACTCCTCTGTCCTCTCGCTGCACGTGCTGCAGCGCACGTAGCAGCACCAGTGGAACTTGCAGTTGCACTGCCACGCGCGCGTGTACTGGTGCGTGTTGTAGCCGCGGCCGCAGCACAGCAGGTCGCAGCCGTCGGCGTGCGGCGACGTGCGGTTGCAGAGGCGGCCGCGCGTGCCCACGCTCCCCGTCAGCTGGTCTTCCTCGCAGTAGTTGGGCGAGCGCTCGGTGAACACGAGCTCCGTGTCGAGCGGCTTGCGGTAGGCGCGCGAGCGCTTCACCTTGAGGAAGACGGGGTAGCGGTAGCGGCTGGCGCGCACCGGCTCCACGTGGACCGCCTCGTCGTACTTGTCCTTGAGCGCGTAGCCCACCTCGCGGAACTTGGGCAGCGTGGTCCAGCACGTCTTGGTGGTGCACGAACCCGACACGCCGTGGCACTTGCACTCCAGCTTCATCTTCTCCTCCAGCACCTGGCGGCCGCGCGGGGTGGAGAGAGATCGGAGTCGGGGTGGGGGGGGGAGAGTGGGTGGGGACATGTGGACAGAGAGAGAGAGAGGTGAGCGGTGAAGGCATCGCTTATAGCGGCGTCACTCGTACGAGTGAAGGAGAGGGTCAAACAAATGTTTTGTTGTGTTTCTTACAAAACCGCTGTTGGTGTCGACCCTCTCTGATCCGCTTTGTGCCGGCTAAATGCTGCGGAAAACATAGGCATTGTGCCGAAAAAATGACGAGGGGAAGAGGTAGGAGAATGGGGGGGGGGGGGGAGAGGTCAAGCGAGGGAGTGTGTGTGAGGGGGTCCCGCACGCGGAGGGGTGGGGGGAGAGATGGAGACGGGTCGTGTTTTTGTTTTCACCCCCAAGACATTTCAGCACCTGCGTTGGATTGGATCTGGAGGAGTGCTCGGTTGGGGAAATCGCCTGCAGAGAAAAAAGGGCCCCACAGGCGTCATTATAATTCCCTGCATGCCACGCGAGCGCCTTCATTCAGATATGGGCCTGCAGGTGTGATAAGGGGGAGAGGAGACCCCTATCGAGAGCGGTCAAGGAGCATAGGGGCGAACGAGCTGCAAGGGCAGCAAAGTGTCGCTGTCTCACTAGGAGGTGGGTGGGTGGGTGGGTGGCCACCTCCATCCCCGTGGTCGTGCAGGCGAGATGAAAGCACCGGGTGAGTTCCTATTAGGCTGCGCTGACCTGGAGGACCTCGGAGGGAGGAGGTCCTCAGTGGAAATGTTGCCACCAATGTCAGGTGCAAGGAACAGGCAAAGGTGCAGCCCTGCAAACCTGCTTTGTCGCACCACTGCTGTCAGAAGGTCCTCCACTCGAGGGAGCTCTAGAGAGCCCCCCCCCCCTCCCCCCCATAGAGGGCATGTGCTCTACTCTCGCACGCTGGCCAGACGTCTGGGAAGAAGTGGGGCAACCCCCACACTTTACCCCAGCGCACGTGACCCGCCAGCCGCCCAACTGCGGCGTTGCTCATGTTTACTGCCGCAATTAAACGATCATGCCTCCCCGGGAGACCCAAGCAAAGACTTCTGTCTTGCTGACCCGTTACACCACCGCCGCACCCCCTTACGGTATCGGTTCATCAGTAAATGAAGTCGTTCCACGTCAATGATTGACGTCAACCTTTCCTATTCAAATAGGAGAGTGAGATCTGTCGTCGTCGTCGTCTGCGACCCACGTGGTGCGGAGGCGGCTGATTGAAAGGCATCGTGGGAAGACGAAGAGCAAGGTGGTGCTTGAGTGATGTGTTCAATTAATGCTTGACATCGTAAATGCTATCTCCGAGTCGAACCGGGGTTTGGTTTAAGACGGGGTCTGTCCACCACATCCAGTTAACACATCTAGGCTATGGCTGTGGCTTTTGAGTTGCATGCCTGCTCCAGTCTATCTACGACCCGGGATGTATTCAGTGAGAAAATTAAGCCCGGTCGTGCGTGTGTGCGTGCGCGCGTGCGCGAGTTTGACGTACCGTATTTAGCAATCATCAGGCGCGTGCGGCGTGCGACCATGATGTGCGTTTGAACGGACTAGATTGGTGAACATCGATGGCAGATCGCGAGCTCTCGTCTATATGTTTTTGGAACGAAACAAATAAACCCACAACCCACTCAGCCAATCAACAAGGGTTTAATTTTTAGGCAGGAGCTGTCCGGGACTGAGCTCCGAAAAATATATTCCCCCCGCCACCCCCCACGCACCCCCCCCCCCTCCACTCCAGCCCTGCCCCCCTTGGAAAGTCGACTTCCACGTACAAACAGGTACTTGTCATCTTGTCATTGGGTTTGCGGGGACTACTTGGTAGGCGGGAGAGGACAATTCAGCCCAAAGCATGTATGTTGAACTTCTTTCGCACCGTACGTTGCCAACCGCCCTAATCGGAGGTGCGGGAGTAATTAGTGCAATAAAGCGATGGTTACACCGCACTTATTTGCTTCCACATCCACGTAATCTGCCAGGTGGCTCAACGGTATGGCAAAGACAAAGATCCACCCTGCAGCCTTGAAGGGACTGGGCAAGTGCTGTCAGGGAGCACCTTGAAAGGTCGACGTGGCACACGAGGAGGGGCTGGGTAGCCAACAGCGTCCCTGATGTGTTCCGTGTCTCTGAATGCCCTTTAAAATTCGTTTTTTTGGTGCGCGTTGCACATTTGTATTAATACATTAAGGTCGTTTTACACACCACACCAGGTAATCATTTCAAGCTGAGTCAACCTCGCGGAGGCACAGAACCCGTTAATATATTCGTCACCGAAGCTGTCCCGTGAGCAGGAATCCACTGCGTCACCACTACACAACCCACTGCGTCACCACTACACAAACAAAGACTCCCCCTCCCCCCGTGCAGCCATTAACAGACTTTTTTTGTCCATAATAACGGTTTTTGGGTTAGATCGCGTTATTTATAAATGTGTCGTAACCCTCCACCACCCGACACGGCCAAACGGTGGCGACTGCTGTTAGCGAGCACCTACGAAGACCCGCGCGACGCACGATGTGTGGAGGTGTGTGACCAGAGCCACGCTACACAGGCAAAGATCCCCCATCGTAGCCTCACCGAACGTCTGGGGGGGTGGGGGGGGGGGTGGGGGGCAAGCGCTGTTAGCGATCACCTGCAAGTAAACCACGCACGAACGCGCACACAGCCACGCACCTTGCGCCCTGCGGCGTTGTTGTGCAGATTCATGAGCGTGCGCGCGTTCTGCTTGACCTCGCGCGCGTCCACGAAGAGTCGCGAGAACTCGAGGCCGTAGCGAAGGTCGGCAGAGCAGCCGCCCCAGCGCCAGCCCTCCTGCGCGTTGTAGAAGCCCTGCTTGGCGCGGTCGCAGCCGCACTCGCTCAGGTTGCCCTGGCTGCACGCCGCCGTGATGGCGTACGCGACTCCGGCCGAGAGCACCGCGTGCGTGAAGGCCGCTTCTCGGCTGCCTGCTCGTGTCGGGGAGGTAGCGGGAGGGGGGGGTGGGCGGTGGGGTCGTGCAGCAGAGACGCGTGGGAGGTAGCGGCGGGGGTGGGGGGGGATGCGGGGTCGAAATGATGGGGAGGATGGGGAAATGGGATTTGGATGGGAGGCACAGATACACACACACATACAGAGACAAAGACACAGACGACACACACACAGACGCAAAAGACAAACACACACAGACACACAAGCACGAAGACGCGCACACAAACACACACACACTATCATCCACCGCAGGTGGCGAGAACTGGGCTGTATGTAGTGTCGGCAGTGATGATTATGATTATGACAGTTATTATTGACGATGATTACATCGTGATTATTTACGATCACCTTGCTCATTTAGTGAAGGTTATTCACCATCACTATGATAATTATATTTAAATACACTGATGATGATTATGGTGGTGATAATATATGGCTGCCACCTATTTTATATTTCATAACATCACATTGCTAAGCCATTTGTCAATCTGCTGATAGGTAAAAACCTCCGTGAAGGTTACGAGCTGGAAGTCTGGAGGCAGCGGAGTTCAAGATGGTGATAGCGATCGACAAAATCACGATGACATTTACAAAAAACGGCATTCAGATTTTCCCTTCACAGAAACAATCGTTGTGTAAACTAACGTCGTATTAAAACGGGGCGTAGAGTGTGTAGAACACAATCATCATCAAAAACATACATGCACACAAAGACAAAGATTCCCCGTATAGCCATAACACACTGTTGGGAGAAGTGCTGTTAGTTTAACACGTAGGCTTTCGCGACCAACATCATCCATTAAACACGTTTTTTGGGTTAGATCGAGCAAATATATAAATGTGTCGTTAAACCCGCCACCACCCGATACAGCTAATTAGTAAGGGTTGCCACGTAAACAGAACATGCCAATTCGTGACTAGTACAGCACACCGGTGTGTTGGAGAGCCAAGCCACAACATTTACAAAGTGCTGTTAGCGAGCACCTATGGAGGTCGTCACGGCACACGAGGGGGTGGCTGGCCAGCGCCACGCCCAAGCGAACTTGTCTCAACAGCAGTGATGCTTACACACCGCACCAGGTACTCATTTGAGGCTGAGTCGACCTAGGGGAGGCTCAGGACCGGTTCACAAAATCGTCACTGGTGTTGGCCGTGAGCGGGAATCGAACTCGGGTCTTTGGGTGCGTAGCGTAGCGCGCTAACCGCTACACTACCGCTCCCCATCATCATTATCATACCACACGCACAACACACACGCGTGCATTCTCTGATACTCAGAAACGTCAAGCAATACTTCGTTGTTTCTCTTACGCAATACATCAATACAAACTGATGGCGCGCCGTGCCCACGTTTCTCTTCCACTGCGTCCGTGTGGCCGCAACGCACGCGGTGCCAGGCCGTCGTATTTGTTTACATTGCTCACAGCCAGGGTTACGTGAAGTGTCTTCCTGTCTCCCCCCCCACACCCCCGTCTCCCTCCCCCAGCGCTTTGAAACTCGACACCGCGCCTCCTCAATCGGTGCGCGAGCCACCGGGGCCGTGTTTCAGTTTGTTATCACTGCACCGTGACAGCCGTCGTAACAGCCACTGCGACACACGCTGTGACACACGCCGTGACACCCACCGTGTGACTCACCGTGACACCCACCGTGACATCAACCGTGACACCCACCGTGACACCCACCGTGACATCTCGGGCCAGGAGCATGCCACAGGTTTTGCTCCCCAAAAAAAAAAAAAAAAACCGCTCGCCCATCGTTTCTGCTCCCGATAATCATTGTCGTTCTTACGTGATGAATGGCTTTAATACGGGGGATGCGGCCGTCGTTGTAATGGTCAGCACGCTCTGACTTTCAGGCCGCAGATCGCAGGTTAGATATCCCGACGCGGCCACTGGAACCCGCTGGGCATGTTCACCCATCGCGATACACACACACACATCACAGAGCAGTCAATCGACAGGCGCCGCGTGATGTGGGGTAAAAGTGCGCGTGCACCCGCCTCCTCCTCCGAGACTGTTTGGCGAGTGTGGAAGAGAAGGCCAAATATTCTCAAGAGGTGTTCTCTCGAGCGCAATCGGTGTGGAGGTCTTTTGCGGTGTTCGTGAGAAGTAAATTGGAGGGCTGCGCCTTTGACGACAGTCCACGGTTAACGAAGGTAATTATTCAGGGCTTAATTGAAGACGTTTATTTTCCGAGTCGCTCGGAGGCTGATGTAGACACGTGGCTATAGTCATGGCGAGAGGTGTACTTGATGTGGTGTGCGCAAGGTGCGGAATTATTTTCCACCAGGACAGAATTGGCTGAAGTTAAGCCCGAGTAATCACGGGTGATGCACAGTGTACAGCCCCTGCTGTCAATCCACTGCTGGATGAAGGCCTCCCCAGAAATCCGCCGCCATCTCCGATGATCTTGCTCCTGCAACGATCCAACGCAGCATCTGCGCTCGAGCTGAATTCATCGTTCCTCCATCTCTTCGGAGAGACGTCATATTAATACGTACTAATTAAAAAGGCTCCAAATGTATACCTCGCGCTGACAAATATAATGCAAATGAAAATCCCACGATGAGATGAGCGCGGCACAATTGCGTCGTCGTAGTAGTTGTCGTTGTTGCTCAAAGTCGCCGAGGTTGAGCGGTCTGTCATGGAGAGTTATCGGGACTCCCCGTGACGCTTATGGGTCGGACCAACAGAGACACAACGAAAACTTCCCCCAGACCACAGCGAGAGAGAGGCGAGTGCGCCCCCCCGCCCCCCACCATGTGCTTGTGAGCGCAGTGGGAGCGGTGGTACAATGGTTAGCGCGCCACCACCCCCCCCCCTCTTCTCCCTGTGCTTGTGAGCGAAGTGGGAGCGGTGGTACAATGGTTAGCGCGCCACCACCCCCCCCCCCCCTCTTCTCCCTGTGCTTGTGAGCGAAGTGGGAGCGGTGGTACAATGGTTAGCGCGCCACCACCCCCCCCTCTTCTCCCTGTGTTTGCGAGCGAAGTGGGAGCGGTGGTACAATGGTTAGCGCGCCACCACCCCCCTTCTCCCTGCGCTTGGTACAATGGTTTAGCGGGCCGCGCTACGAATGCAGCAACCCGAATTCGAGTCCTGCTAACGACAGATATTAAGTGACAGCGAGTATTTGGAACCGGTCCCGGGGCCTACCCCTAGGTCGACTCAGCCTCAAATGAGTACCTGCATGCGGTGTGTAAACACGAGGACCCGGGGGAGACCGAGGCGGGCAGGTGCGTGGTGTCGGCCACCCCACCTTGCTGGCGCGACGTGCCCACCTGCGCAGGTGCTCGCTAACAGCAAGCACTTGCCCCGACTGTCCGCTCGAGGCTATACGGGGGATCTTTGTCTCGGCGGGTGCGTTGCCCGACGCTCGTCACAGCGCGCATTGGCGTCAACGGTAGCGTCACCCCGCGTGATCCGGGACCGGAGTGGAGAACCCCGTCTGGCGGCGTGTTCGTCCCATCGCGGCTCCCCCCTACAGCTCCACCACCCACCACCTCGTTCATTATGTCCTTTCGCACGATGACCATTCGTCCAGGAGCCTCATTCCCACAGTCTGTTAGCCACGACGAGAGGGCTTCAGCAAGAGAGAGAGAGAGAGAAAGAGAGTTCGTGTCGTTTTGATAGTCCTCCTCCTCCTCCTCCATTGAAGGAGCGCAGACTGCGGTGTTTTACGATAGGGTCCATCGTTTGGGTTGCTTGGCCACAATCGCGTTACTGTGGCTTGTGGACGAGATGTGCTCGTGTCGGCCTGGCGACGTCTTGATGCGGTTGATGGTTACACCACCGCCACCGCCGCCGCCGGTTTCATCGGGGGGAATGCCAACGCCAGGAGGTTGCGACGTTTGGGTCTCGGATGAGGGGTCCGTTGGTCTCGACGTCCGCGTTTGTTCGGGGCGCAACGAACAGAAGGAAATGCACGGGCGAGTGCCCTCTCGACACGAAGCCACCGTCGAGTAAGCGAGCGGCGACCGCTCGCTTACTCGACGTGGACTGAACGTGTTTCTATTTGGCGATGCTGCCGCTTCGGCAGTGGTTGTGTTTACGAGCACAAATAAGCAACGACAAAACTCAACGCATTCGTCAATCAAACTGCCTTAAAAATTATACCAAAGGCGACGTTTCGGGCAATGGTCCTTCTTCACTCATAGCACGTGAATCTATGTGCGCATACACCAACGCGCTATGAAGAACGGACATTGCCTAGAACGCCGCCTGTCGTGTCGATTTCCTTTCAAGGCCGCGGTGTCATCTTTATGCATCTGTAACGCACTCGCCAAAACGGCGGAAGAGCCGGTGGGTTGGGTTCTCAATGTGCGTGGAATTGCCCTGACTCCAGTCCTCGTGTCCCACCACGACCACCACTACCACCACGACTGCCACCTTCCACCACTACCTTCACGACTACCACCTCCGCTACCTCCACCACTACCACCACCACTACCAACCACCACTACCGCCACTTCTACCACTACCACCGCCACCACTACCACCACGACTGCCACCTTCCACCACTACCTTCACGACTACCACCTCCGCTACCTCCAACACTACCACCACCACTACCAACCACCACTACCGCCACTGCTACCACTACCACCGCCACCACTACCACCTCTGCCACTGCCACCACGACCACCTCCACCACCTCCACCACTACCACCACCACTACCTCCAACACCACCTCTACTACCACCACCACCACCACGAACAGTAACACCTATGTCCGATGAGAGATAAACGACTGTCTCCACGTGACTTGGGGAACTCTGACCGAAGTTAAGATTGAAATCGTGCGTGTTGGTGAGTGTGTGTGTATATGTCTGTTCGTATAAGGGTGGAGCGGTGACGCAATGATTAATGTATTGCGCAATGCACCCGGAGGCCTTATCAGTTTGGCTCCCGGTCACGGCTAACATCAATTTCCGAGTGCTCGCCAAACCACTGCCTCGTACGCCGTGCAGGCCTTGGATATT